TCATTTACACTGAATATCTGCAGGCACAGACCCTCACAGTTCCGATTGACCATATACGGCAAACCACAGCCTCTCAGAGCTGCGTAGGGCCATGCCCACAGATGCTCAGCATAAATGAGCTATCTTGAGTCCTGCCAATGGCTTACCTTGTTGCCTTACTTGCATTGCCCACCACTGGCATAACTGGTCAAAACTGGGAAAGAATAAGTTTATTAAAATATCTGTTTTTAAAATAACAGTAAAGTATAATGTAAGACTCAATGTGCAAAAACTGAATATTTCAGGGAAATTGGGGATTTATATATAAACTCCCAACTCTACAGCTTCAAAAGGCTTAGCAATAGACTTTAAATATGTTTATAAACTTTGGTGTATATAGAAATCTGGCACCCTTTCCTTCAAATGATAGAAGACCAAGAAAATGTGTAAATTAGAACATATGTGTAAGTTGGATAGAATTCAAAGACCATATTTAGGCAGGACTCCACTGTTGGCATTTCTATGACTTACTGCCTTCAGCGTGAGTTTGGTTACATACTCATGCTGGTTTAACCAATGCCCCCTGTTGACTTGGCTTGATTGGAGAGGATGTTTAAGTAAATATGTGCAGCTCTCATTCAACACAATATTATTTATTACTATTATTCTCACCCCAAACCTGCACAGAATACACTGTTACAAACCTAGGAAACTGAATATCAATTTCAGGTTCAATAAAGTAAAGAGTTGCATTTTACATTATTTTTCCAAAGTAAATTACTGAAAAGGGGACACCCTGGACAAGATTTGCAAGGATATTGCATCATCAAGACAGCTATTTTAAAACAAGGCATACTTTATCAATAAATGTTGAAGTACATGAATAGCTGTGGCACTGCACTACAGTGTGTTAGTTAACCTTTAAATCCTTTGTGGGTCAAAAAATCATGAAAGTCAATCAATAAAAATGAAAGGCTTCTATAGATGTCATTGTAGAGTTAGAGCCATGGTCACCAACCCGCCAATTGCAATCGACTGGTCTATCCTGGGGGCTCAACCAGTCAATCGCGAGGCTTTCGGGGGCCACGCCTTGCTGTTCCACACCCGCAAGATGAACCCCACGCTGACGCTACTGCTACCTCTAGGGACAATGGAGATAGTGCAAGCTTCCTGCAGGAGAGTTCTGCAGCTGTGCGCCAGGTTCCGGAAGTACATGGGCTGTTCTTCTCTCCTCCCCAAACAGCTGGAATGGTACCTAAAACACTGGTCCATCGCGCGCTGGGGACTTTCTTCCCCTGCTGCCTTCCTGTGCGCAGGGGAGGAAGAAAGGGAATGGGAGTCCGGGACTGTGCCAGCTCCAACTGCTCAGGCAGCACACAGCTGCTGTGGGGAGCGGAGGAGCAAAGCATGTGCTTCCCAAGCAGTTGGAGCTGGTGCAGTCCAGGACTCCCACTCCCTTCCCACCCCCCGCACAGGAAGGCAGCAAGGGAAGAAAGTCCCCAGTGTATGACGGATTGGCATTTCAGGTACCATGCCACTATTTGAGGGATGGGAGAGCAGCCCACGCACTGCCTGGGCCTTGGTTCACAGCTGCAGGATCCCCAGGTACCAGTCCCTATCCCCTCCCCCCGCCCCCACTGCCATGAGTACCCTGTCCCAGCACCCACCAGTACCCTGTCCCCTCCCCCAACACCCATTGGCACCCTGTCCCCTGCCTTGGCACTCTGCCCCAGCACCCTGTTCCCTACCCCAGCACCCACCAGCATCCTGTGCCCTGCCCCCACTATCACCATTGGGGCCACATTAATGAGGCTTGAGGGGTTGTGTTTTTGTATCTCACTTGTGTGGCCTCTACTGACTTTTCTGTGGGTCAGTGACCCCTGACTCAAAACAGGTACTCCAACCCTCTCAAATAAAAACAACGCTGAAACCTTTTATGTTTGACATAATATTTTATTTAAAAATGAAGCCTGGCAACAAGCCCCCAATTGGGGCCGAGCCCTCCACTGGCCACAGCATCATAACACTCATGTACCTCCCACCCCGACTCCAAATCTGAGCCTATCATACACTGGAACCCCCTGTCCTGAGCCTCTCACATCCCCAAACTCCCACACCCCCACATCCTCAGTCTTCTGCCACAACACTCCTGCACCATCCACACACTGCAAATCTGTGTCCTGAGCCCATCATACTCACAACCTCCCTGCCCTTAGCCCCTCACACACCCCAACCCAAACTCCTGCACCCTCAGCCACAAACCTGTGGTTTGCTCAGTACCTCAACCCTCCACTTGAGCCCAACACTCCCCAGCCTGGAGCCCCCTCCCCCATGAGCCAGCATCCCTTTTTCCACATCCGCCTGCATCCAAATTCTCTCCCAGAGCTCCAAATTCCTCATTCCCACCCCAGAGCCCACATCTCCTGTCTCAACCCAGTGAGGGTACGGCTAGACTACAGGAGTTTTTCTGGCAAACACGCTCTTTTGGCAGCCCCTGTATTCCTTGTTCCACGAAGAATAAGGGGGCTTCCAAAAGAAGGGGGTTTTCCGACATTTGGCCCAGTCTAGAGATAAAGGTGTTAGTACACACACACACACACACACACACACACACACACACCCCACTCTACACTCTCAAGGATGTACACACACACACACACACACTCACTCACACTCACTCACTCTCTAAGGATATGTCTACACTACCATCCTAGTTCGAGCTAGGGTGGTAATGTAGTCAACCGGAGTTGCAAATGAAGCCCGGGATTTGAATTTTCCAGGCTTCATTTGCACGTTGAGAGTCGATGGAAGTGCAACTAGGGTGGTAGTGTAGACATGAAGATAAGCCCTAAGGGTATGTCTACACTACCACCCTAGTTCGAACTACGGTGGTAATGTAGTCAACTGGAGTTGCAAATGAAGCCCGGGATTTGAATTTCCTGGGCTTCATTTGCATGTTGCCAGGCGCCGCCATTTTTAAATGTCCGCTAGTTCGGACTCCGTGTCCGCGGCTACACGCGGCACGAATTAGGTAGTTCGGACTAGGCTTCCTATTCCACGAGGAGTAAAGGTAGTTTGGAATAGGAAGCCTAGTCCGAACTACTTAGTTCATGCCGCGTGTAGCCGCGGGGCACAGAGTCTGAACTAGCGGACATTTAAAAATGGCGGCGCCCGGCAACGTGCAAATGAAGCCCGGGAAATTCAAATCCCGGGCTTCATTTGCAACTCCGGTTGACTACATTACCACCCTAGTTCGAACTAGGGTGGTAGTGTAGACATACCCTACGTGCTTCACGTCTACTGCATGTCCCTCATATAGTTATTAGAGGGGTAGCCGTGTTAGTCTGAATCTGCAAAAGCGGCAAGGAGTCCTGTGGCACCTTATAGACTAACTGAAGCGTAGGAGCCCACAAACAACCCGCCAACCTGAAGTATATTCTCACCAGCAACTACACACCGCACCATAATAACTCAAACTCAGGAACCAATCCTTGCAACAAACCTCGGTGCCAACTCTGCTTACATATATACACCAACAACACCATCACAGGACCTAACCAGATCAGCCATACTGTCACTGGTACATTCTCCTGCACATCTACTAACATAATATATGCCATCATGTGTCAACAATGCCCCACTGCTATATACATCAGCCAAACTGGACAGTCCCTACGTAAAAGAATCAATGGACACAAATCTGATATTAGGAATGGCAACATACAAAAACCTGTAGGGGAACACTTCTATTTTCCTGGACACACAATTGCAGATCTAAAGGTAGCCATCCTGCAGCAAAAAAACTTCAGGACCAGACTTCAAAGAGAAACTGCTGAGCTACAGTTCATCTTCAAGTTTGACACAATCAACTCTGGATGGCTTGCTAACTACAAAAGCAGCTTCTGCTCTCTTGGAATTCACACCTCCAGATCAGCTACTAGAAGTGGGCCTCATCCTCCTTGATTGGATCCACCTTGTCACCTCCAGCCTGATTCTGGCCTGCATATTTATACCTGCCTCTAGAAATTTCCACTACATGCATCTGACGAAGTGGGTCTTTGCCCACGAAAGCTTATGCTCCTACACTTCAGTTAGTCTATAAGGTGCCACAGGACCTTATTGCCGCTTTTCCTGATATAGTTGTTTCACATCTTTTGGGTAGAGTGCTGGGAAACGGATTTATTAACCAAGTCTTAACAGCCAGCCCAATGCCCAGAGGGATTAGGCAATTGGAAAGCAGATTCCAGTTCTCAGAAGTAGGTGCCTGATAAATCTATGCCTGGAGACTTTGATATTCAGGGAATGGCTGGATACCATTCCATAGCAACAGAAACTTGCATTCCCCTTACAGCAGTCCAAGTGAGTGACCAGGAGGGGGTCCTCACTAGGATCTGGGACACATACTAATAGAATTTGAAACAAATATTTTCTGCATATGTACAGTTTTCCTGAACCATATACATCTCGGAGAGTGAACATCAGTTTTCATTTCTATTGTCAACTGATTTGGTAGGTACACATGAGAAACTTCACTTCCACAATGATTAAAAATGAGTGGACGAGGCACATGTTTCAGAAGTTCTGTTCTTGTAACATTTAAATTTTAATTGTGATGTTTTGTTGCTGTATTGTGCATTTGATCAATGTGTATGCTTTCCTTTTTATAAGCTTTTTACTATCACTACTGGTAGACTAGTTTTGTTGATAAGTTACGTGAAAGTTAGATTATGCACTTTGTTTTTCAATACAGAGGCAGTTGAAGGGGTAAAAGGGGCTTAAAACTTTGAAAAAAACTGAAACGGTAGCTATTTTGCCTAAATAACCAGTGTAAAAGAGAGGCGAAAGAAACAACAGGTACAATTAGTGAGGTTTATAAATCAGATTGTAACAACTAAAAAAATAAAATGCAGTTTGAAAGAGAAGGTTATTTCTAACCCACATATTTTTGTAATATCTATATACCTTGAAATGTGACATTTTCTATCTGCTTCTAGAACACAGGATTCTATCATCAACCATACCTGTTCAAGAACTTCTTTGTAAGTTATAGCCTGTTTAGTGTTTGTTACAGGACTATCATATATAATAGCAATCTGGTCTGCATGTCCATTCTCAACATGACGATCTATAGCATTATAACAAATATTCAGCTCTCCATTCACAAACCTGAAAGAGAAAAAAAAGTACAATATTAGATAAAGATCTTTGCAAACTAACAAGACTGATTTCTGGGAAGGAGAGAGAACAGTCAGCTTGACAATTGATGAAACTTTGTCTTCAAATCAGAAGGCCCCCACTGTTAGATTACTTATATTACTAAATTATGTTGGTATCAGTGTTCCCTCTAAACTGGACATCAGCACAACTTCCACACCCTGAGCAATATAGTTATAACAAACCAACCCTCGGCTAGATATCTTATATTAATAGGAAGCTTTCTCCCACTAAAATGCCTTCTGTCACTCATACTTCTCCTGTTGATGTAGGTAGCATCTTCACCAAGCATTAGTGCTGCAGCTGTGCCACTCTCTAGAGGGTACGTCTAGACTACAGGCTTTTGTTGACAGAAGTTTTGTCAACAGATACTGTTGACAAAGCTTCTGTCGACAAAGAGCACCTAGACTACATCCAGTTCTGTCAACAAAGTAAGCCACTTTGTCAACATGATAGCGTAGACACAAAGGACAGTGTAGATGCAAAAATGCCTTTTGTCAACAGAACTCTGTCAACAAAAGGCGTTATTTCTCATAGAATGAGGTTTACAGCCGTCGACAAAACTGCTGAGTTGTGTCAACGTTATGTCGACAGAACTCAGCAGCAGTGTAGGCACAGGTATAGTTTTGTCGACAAAAGTCCACTTTTGTTTACAAAACCCTGTAGTCTAGACACATCCTCTATGTAGATAAGCACCAATTCAAAATGAATTTGCTAAAAAAAAATTGGTAAATTAGCCAATTAGCTGGGTAATAAAATACTTTGACTGTATAAAGATTAGGAATCTGCAGGGAATCACGTCCCTTCAATAGCCAGATATTTACAGAGAACTGTCACTTTTAATTAAAAACTGTTTCACAAACTTGGGATTTTTTTTTTTTTTTGCAATTTTACATACAAGATTTAAATGTTGTATAAAGTTGAAATACTAAACTGTACAAAAGTGGTATAAACTTCAAAGAAGAACTTTGATGTTCAATCCTATTCCCCTGCCTTCCATTGATGATCTCCCCAGCCAGTCTCCCCTTTGTCTGACTTGGCTTGTATATACCTCTCCCTCTCTGTGCATATTCCCCAGAACAGTCTGAAAGAACAGCTGAAGGAAAGCATGTATAAATCCTAGGATTCAACGAGGATGATCTAAATCAGGGCTGGACAAAATACGATCCACAGGCTGGATCCTGCCCACAGGAGCCTCAGTCAGCTCCCTGCCTGCACCGCTCATACTCGGCACTCAGGAAAGCTAGCTGCAAGGCCATGTGCTTCTATGAAGGCCCGTGGGAAGGAGACAGAGGCTTCTCACACTGCTCCTGCCTCCAGTAACTCTCATTGGCTGATTTCCAGCCAATAGCAGCTGCCTGTTTGCAAGACAGGAAGCATGTGAAGTGCCCCGCCACCCTCATCCCCCAGGCTCACAGTGTTTGCAGCAGCAAACATGACCCCTATAGCGGCTATCAGCAGTACAGGGGTATAGAAGGCAGGGGCCCAGGTTAAGGATCCTGCTAGGAGCACCCAAGTAAGGTCTCCCAGCCAGAGCCTGCCTCTGGCACCCCAGCCCCTCTCCAGCCTCCTGCACCCCTACTCCATGTAATCCAAACCTTCGGAACCCCCTGCTCCAGCCCCCATACACCTTCCCAAACACTGCATCACCTCCTACACCCTCCTTAGATCACAACCCCCTCCCAGACTCTGCACCCCCCAGTCCGCTATCGCTGGTCACAGCCCAAATCCCTGCTCCCCTCCTGTATTCCTACACCAGGATATACTCTCTTCCCAGACCTTGCAATTTCTCCTGTACCCCAGTTCACAATCCCCTCCTTCATCCAAACTCCCTCCCAGATCCCACACCCCAATCCCTTACCCCCAAGCTCCCTTCTGTACCCAACCTCCATCCCAGACCCTGCACCTACTTCATTAATATAATGGAAGACTGTGGCCCTTGACCACTTACCAAATTCTTGGTGTGGCCCCCCATCAAAACTTATTGCCCATCCCTGCTCTACATTGTACTTTGCACTGGAGTCTGGGTTGTGTCCAGAATTAGGTCTAGTATCAGCAAGGAAAGAAAATATAAGGATTTTTCTGTCTCAATACAGAGAGTGATTTCATAGAATAGAATAATAATAGGACTGGAAGGGATCTCGAGAGGTCATCGAGTCCAGCCCCCCGCCCTCAAGGCAGGATCAAGCTCCGTCTACACCATCCCTGACAGATGTCTATCTAACCTGTTCTTAAATATCTCCAGAGAGGGAGATTCCACCACCTCCCTTGGCAATTTATTCCAATATTTGACCACCCTGACAGTTAGGAATGTTTTCCTAATGTCCAATCTAAACCTCCCCTGCTGCACTTTAAGCCCATTACTCCATGTCCTGTCCTCAGAAACCAAGAGGAACAAATTTTCTCCTTCCTCCTTGTGACACCCTTTTAGATATTTGAAAACCACTATCATGCATCTTTCATCACAGGATCATAACTATTAAATCTAATTCAGGTTGGTAATGCCCTGGAGGCTTTTCACTTCCCTAACTGAAACAAGTTAGATTTTAATTTGGTTCCTTGTGCATTCCACAGAAAATCAGCATCAAAGCTGGCGCTCTAGACCAGTCTAGAAAGTGTGTTGCAAAAACTTTGAGAAAATACATTAACTGGCTGCACCAGTTTGTTTATTTACTAGTGCCACGGAGCCTTGCAGCTCCCATTGGCTCCATTTCGTCCTTTGCAGCCAAGGGGAGTCACGGGAAGCAGCGTAGGCCGGGCCACCAGTTAATAGAGACACCCAGCAGCACCTGCATTGAAGGATGAAGAGGATTATCAGCATCACGCACACACTACGGCTGTGTCTACATTGCACCCCTTTTCCCGAAAAGGGATGCAGATTAGACACTTCGCAATTGCAAATCCGCGGGGGATTTAAATATCCCCCGCGGCATTTGCATTTACATGGCTGGCGGCTTTTCCCGGCTTGGGGATAAGCCGGAGAAAAGCGCCAGTCTAGACATGATTCTCCGGAAAATAAGCCCTTTTCCGGAGGATTTCTTATTCCTACTTGAAGCACCTCGTAGGACTCCCCAGTGGTCCTCCCCCAGAGCTCTAAATCAGCCTCAGGGTAAAAGGTCCTGGGTGCCTCCATCAGTGCCACTACCAAGTCTTCAGGAAAGAAAGGTCACGGTAATTAGGGGTTTCTTATTTTAATTACAAAGCCAAAGGGGTTGATTTAGTGGGTCTGGGCTTCAAGCCCTCTTTGTTGCTGATGCTGTCACCTTGTTTGTCATATCTGTGGGGGGTTATTTTCCCCATTTCTCCCTCTTTTGTAATCAATCCCTAAACAACATCTTACCTTGTTTGCCTCCTCTTTCTTTATTGCACCTGAACTGGAGAGGAAGGAGGAGAATAGATCTGCTTCAACACATAATTAAGTCACAGGTGATAGACCCTGATATGAGGGAGGGGCAATCCTATACTTCTGGCAATGGCACTAAGCAGCATTTTTAACCATGTTTGCTACCTTGAGATAACAGAGAGGAAAGATGTCCAAGGTTGAACTTGATTGTATAGCCATGCAGATGACATTTAGTACCCATTTCTCCATTATTAATAGGGATATTAAAATGCATTTAATTAGGAGATCGTGTAACCACTGAAAATTCCACTGGTTACATGGTTGGCCCTGGTATCAGAAGCAGCAGCATAGGAGGTTGGGAGGAAAGAAGGTTGCTCCATGGGAGCTAGTACTCAGAGGAGTACTAGCCAGTACCAGCTAGTACGCTGGTATGTGTGGAGGCAGCCGTGTGAGGGGAGCTTCGTGTAACCATAAAACATAACCGATGGCCAAGGTTCATGGGTTAACAGTGTAAATTGTTACACATTCCATGAACCTTGGCCATCGGTTAACAGTGTAAATTGTTACACATTCACATTCCAAATTATTAGTGCCTCTAAGAGAAGACAGTTACAAGACAACCTCCCCAAAGAGGGTAGGCTCTTTGCACGGCTGCAGGCAAGGTGGTTGATGGCTCTCTAGGGTTCTTCAGAAATCTCTCATCTGTGAAGGGGGTGTCTGGGGAGGAAGAATGTTGTGAGGACAGGCTCAGAGGACAAGATCTTTGATTTTTTTCATGGTCCAGAAGGTCTCTGAAGGAAAAACAGGGAGGTTCCATAACACTGTGGCTACGTCTACATTGCGAAGTCTTGCGCAAGATATGCAAATGAGGCACTGTGATGAATATCTACACTGCTCCTTGTGCAAAAATGGCGGCTCATTAGGTATGCAAATGAGTCATGGCAATAGACAATGCCACACCTCATTTGCATATCTTCTTGCGCAAGAACGCGCAATGTAGACGTAGTCTCTGTGGGCAGCAGGCAATAGAATTTATACTTCAACACAGGTGCGTAGATACCCAAGGAATGATGAGTAGCTCTCAAATCACTGACAGTGCAGAAAGAGTTGTCCATTTCTGGTTGAAAAGATGGGATTCAACAAGAGGGAGGTCTTTCTCCCTGGGAAAACCAGAGGAAAGGAGCCACAATCCATCCTCATGGCCATTCAGTACAAGGAGTAGAATCCTGCATGCTTACAAAAATGTCTGTGTATTTGCCGGGCTTTAACAGCAGCTTCACAGGTCATCACCATGCACCAGTGATTCAGGGCTGTGCTAAGCCCCCAAACTCCAACTGCTCCCCACTTCTCCTCAGAGACCTCCTGCCCCACTGCCCACTCTGTCCCCATAGTACCTCATTCTCCACATCAGAGAGAGAGAGAGAGAGAATACAATCCTGGACCTTGTGTGCTACACTGCTCTCCCAGTGGGGGACTCGGGCACCCTATGCAGCTGTAGCAGCTCTAACACATGCAGACCCAGCTGGGACAAACAGTGCCGTGCACAAAAAGTTCTGGGCCTGCCCACCTCATCTGCAGAGTCGCACAGCAGCACTCGCCACTCACTTTC